ACCTCTGCCCCCTCCCAAATTTTCTCTCTCCCAAGTCTAACTACTCCTCCATCAGCTGTTCCTCACATAAAATGTTGAGTCTTACCCATTTTAAGGAAGTCCTCCGAAAATGCTCCTGCCTGTCCACATTTCCCTGACAATTCAGTGTGCTCCACTAAATACAATTTAGGTGTTGACTATCAAGAATGAGTAGAGCAACTTACCACCTCCCTCCTGCCAGATACCATCGATTTAGCCCAAGATTGCTTTCACTTCCTGGCAGCTGCCCCATATTGCTGTTGACCAAAATAAAGAAGGTGTCTATGTGTCACACTGTCCCTTGGGTCATGCCTCCCTAACACCTTAGTTCTGTGGCCCACCTCTTGGTCCATATTTATCCTCTTCAAGTTTCACCGGCTCACAAGAAACTGGTAAGCTTGCTTTCCTCTGAGGATAGCAGGGAGGCTGAGGAGTGGAACAGAAGGGAAAATGACTCTTCATTGCATACATTTGTGTCTTAAATTTTGCACCATGCACATTATTCCCTGGTCGCAATAAACAAGCCAACAAATATGCACGTTAAGCTTATTTTACTTGCTAAGATTCGCCCAATCCTCCTAGCCTGTTAGGAAATTTATGTCTTCCAATGACCTCACTTGCTCTGTATAAATATAATAAGCACTGATTTAAAAATCTTCAGTCAAAGCCATTGATAAAGGTAGAAAAAGATGAATCAAGTCTCATCCAGGCACTAAGTCAAGATACTAAGTGGGCACTTTTCAGTTGAGATCCCAAGAACCCACCCACTTCCTTCCTTTACCTGGTTACTATTGGGTAACTGGTTTCCCTACATGAAAGCCTGATTGATGAGCCTACTTCTCTTCTGGACACTCTCTCCACTGTAACTGCAGGGCAAAAGGAGAGACATGCCAATGCCGAGAAAGGCCCTCCTCCACTCAAGAACTGCTCACAACTCACCACCAGGAATTCAGTCCCAAGGCAAAACCCACACCACAGCTTCTCTGGTCTAACACATGGAGGAACAAGTTGGGCACCTGAAGTAGGCAAACCTGTACGGTGGTATCAAGATTTGTTAAATGGATTCATTTATTTTAAGGAAACAATAAGCAGTCCCAAAACAGCAGCAAAAACTCCACACACAATAATGGCAAATTTAATATGGCTTATTCATACAATAACTCATGCTACACTTAACACAAATACAAGGGTATGGTTTTCAATAGTGTGGAAGAGACGAATTCATAAAACCTGTTAAGTAAATATTGAGCTTTGAATATAAATTACCTGCGAAAGCTTCTTTTTGAAACACACCCAAAACAATAAATTAGGGCAAGGGTTTTGTAAATGCCAGCTTCAGGACTGCTCCAAACCCTTTTACCCACATTAGTCACGGTCCCTGACTTTTACAGAGGAAAAATCAAAAGCAAGAAACTCCTGGTTTTTGCTTCTCTGGTCACATTCTAACTCTTGCTTCCTGGCATTTGATGCATACATACCCTATTGGGCCAAAAGCCTTTGTCCCTTATTAGTGTGGGGCTCCTTCTGCCTGGGTTCTGCCGCATCACCTTGTGCCAGGTTCCTGAGGGGTTGTCTCCCTGATGCCTTGCCCAAAACCAACCTAAATTACCTGTTTTCTCTCCAGCCAGGACTCCTCCCCTATGAGAGAAGCAGGATCGTCACCTACAATCCAGAATCGAGAAAGAGCATCCTTTCATTCCATAATACATGACAGTGATCTCAGGCAAGACATGAAGTAACAGCTGGGAAACTGATCCCAAAGCAAACTCTTGGGGGTGGATTCCCCACCACACCAGATTGCCTGAATTTTCTCATATACTGGAGAGTGGAATCTGCTGTATTCCATGAGTAAATGGACAAGGATCCAGCTGGAGCTGCCAGTAACACATGCAAAGGCGAGACCTGAGAGCAGCAAGGGCTCTTACCATGGTGCTAACACTACGGGCGATCTCAGGGCACTAATGACAGCCTCTGCTTTGAGTTCTCATATGCAGAAGACACTGCCTCAGAGAAGCAAGTGGACTCTGAGTGCAGTGAGGAGTGCTAGCATGTTCAACCACAAAGGGCTACACACAAGGCTGGAAAAAAATGAGTAGAGGCCAGAAAAAGAATGTAGGTTCTGGCTTGATCTCAGATCCCAGGCCAGAATTCAAGACTCTTCTGAAGAGTTGTAACCTGCAAGATGGACTCAGGCAAGGAGAAGGAATTGAGCACGCGTTAGAGAATTTACACACAAAACCCTTCACACAGTGAAGTATGGATGGCTTGGGAACCTGCCAGGCAGCCAGGAGGTTGGGCCAAGGGCAGAAGAACCAGGACTTGCCATTGTCCAGAGAAATCTTTCCCTCTGCAGCCAAGGTCAGGCTGCTCCAGCCACCCTGCTCTTCTCCCAACACATACCCCAAAATCTCAAATGATTAGTGATTAATGCGGGCTAAGCATATACACAAAAGAATTAAGAACAGGGACTTGAACAGATTTTTGTACATCCATGATGACAGTAGCATTGTGATAGGCAAAAGGTGGCAGAAAACAAACCAAGTGTCCATGAATGGATGGAGAATACGCAAAATGTGCATGTGCATATAATGGAATATTATTCGGTCTAAAATTCTGACACATGCTACAACATGGATGAGATTTAAGGACGTTATGCTAACAAAGGGACAACTGCTATATGATTGTACTTACATAAGGTTCCCAGAGTGGTCAAGTACTGAGAGAGTAAGTAGAATGATAGTTGCCAGGGGCTGGGGACAAGGTGGAAATTAGTATTTAATGGAACAGAGTTTCAGTTTTACAAGAAACAAAGAGTTCTGTGGGTGGATAGCGGTGATAGTATTATACTTAGATGAGCTGGGTAAAAATACTATAGGCAGTCAGATAGGGCTGAGTCCTCGAGAGGGCCAGGACAAAGGTGAAACACACCACAGCTGCACATCAGCTGAAAACCAGGCCTCAAGACGGAGACAAGATGACCAGACCTGCATACTTCTTCAAAGAACTGGGCTTAGTGAAGTATAGATGGGCATCGACCAGACCTCTGGACCCGCCACTTCCTGAGAGAATCCTTGTTCTTTCCAGCCACTCTTGTCACGTGACATGCTTCCCAAGTGGACCACCATTACCTAAGTGACTGAACTTGTAACCTTATTGGATGCTCATGGCTGTGGCCCATGTTGTACCCACATGGGTTTCACCCTATAAAACTCCTCTGTAAAGTGGGGTCCCTGGGCTACCCACTTGGGACCCCTCCTGCCCCTCAGGAGCTTTCCTATCAATGAATATCTTCCTACTCTTAATCTCTGTTGTTCCTAGGACTCATTCTTTGATTTCTAGAGAACAAGAATTCGGCGTATCATACAGTTAACAGGTTGGGAGATATCATATTTCATATTTTATATTTCCCATGACAATAGTAGCCTAACAATGTCAATGAACTACTAAAAATGGTTAAGGTGTTCTGGCAATGCACACCTGCAATCTCAACACTCAGGAGGCTGAAGCAGTTGGATCGCTGCAAGTGTGAGGTCAGCCTGGGCTACATAGCAAGTTTAAGGCCAGCCTGGACTACACAGTGAGATGTTCCCTGTCTCAAAAAATCAAAAAGGGGGCCAGAGATTTAGCTCAGTGGTGCCGCTGCCTGCCTTGCAAGTGGAAGATCCTGAGTTCGACCCCCGGTGCCAAAACAAAACAACAACAAAAAATCAAAAAGGAAGGGAGGGAGAGAACGAAAGGAAGAAGGGAAGAAAGAAATGGACAGGAAAGGAGATGGTAGGGGAGGAGAAAAGTTAAAAGGAAAGAAAGGAAAAGGAATTGTCATTTAAAGGAATCAGGGAGGGCCGGGGATTTAGCTCAGTGGTTCTGCTGCCTGCCTCACAAGTGCAAGGACTCAAGTTCGATCCCCGGTACCAAAAAAAAGGCATCTGAGTGCCTCTTAGTGATAAAGGAATCAGGGATAGAACTGGAGATCATTATGTTAAGCAAAATATCCCAGCCAGAGTCAGAAACACAAGTTTTCCCTAATATGTGGAATCTAAGAAAGATGATATGAAAGTAGAAAGGAGACTATTATTAGACAAAAGGAAGGGAATGGAGGGGGAGTAAGAGGGGGATGGAAAAATAGCTATTAATTATATTAAGAGATCACGATGTTGACATGAATTTACTGAAGTGGAAATAGTGTCCACTACACTGCATTAAAGTGAAATAGCAGATTACAAAACAATGCATATGGCATTGTCAATTTATTTTCAAAAATGTATTAATGCACAGAGATATCCAGAAATTATCTAGAATGATATTCACTTAACTGTGTTAACCTGTCCCTGGAAGTAAGATACTGAGCACATCTTTCTTTTTAAGATGATTTTTAATTTGTTCTATTATAAAATGTTTCTATGTGAAGGAAATTACGAATTGCTATAAGTACATTAAGTAATGGATAATTAGCTTGATTATAGTAATCACTTCACAATACATATGCACCTCAGAACATGATACATATGATCTTATCAGTCAATTATATCAAATTTAAAAAGAAAAAATGGTTAAGATGGTAAATTTTATGTTGTGTATTTTACAACAATTTTTTTAGATGTGCATTAAAATTTGAGAATTTCAGTCAAAAGAGAGAGAGATTAATGTAGGAAGAGTGATGCAATCACAACTCTTAACCAGTAACTGTCACTGGGATGAAAAGCATGCTATCATTATGTCAGATCAAAAAAGCAAGATAGACATTATATGTGATAGATTTCAGCTATATAAAGATAAATGTCCACATCTATGTAACATGTGTTCTGGGGAGGAAAAGGAGTAGAAGGACATATGTGAATGTCAACAGTGGCTATATTCCAAAGGGTGGACTTCTTTCCTTCTTCATCAGTTTTCACATTTTCTAAGTTTCATACAATGAACACACATTACTCTTATAATGGGGTGGAGAGACAAAGTAAATATAAAAGCAAACCACAAAAACATTCCAATGAAAATGAGCATTTATTCAATCTCCAGATGAGGAGGTGTCTCCATGTTTCACAGGAAAAGACAGGAATATGTATCACACAAGATCAATTTATTCATCACTTTGATTACTTTGTAAAATGAGGCCCATAACTTGACATTTAAAGGCAAATTCACACAACTGGATATGCAAATGTCCAAAAATCATACAGAGGAACAATGATCAAAGCCATTAATAAGCAGAGTTAGAAGTTAAAACAGGATACCATTTTCACCTATTACAGTAGGGGTGTTTTTTCATGGTTTTTATTTGTATGCTTGTTGCTTTATTTTTTAACTTTGGTGCGCTAAGGTAGGGAGAAAATGGAGACGTTTTTGACAACTTGGCACTGAGAGGCTGTCCCTAGGGAATAATTCAAAATATATAGAAATGCTCTATTCAAAAAGTTTATCATCACAACATTATTTATAAAACTGAAAATTAAATTTCCAACAATTGAAAGAAGGTTAAGTAAATTACAATAAAACTACAGAATAAAATATACTATCGGCAAAATAAAGTATCTCTGGAAAAATCTGTAATAATCATCTGTAATATTTAATGGAAAAGTACAAGCATAAATTGCATGATAAAGAACACAGTATGATCATTATCGCAGGAATGTAAAAAATTCATATCTTCCTAAAGACAAGATACTAAGTGGCTATCTTGGAACAGAAGATTCATTTTTCTCCCTATGTGCTACATTCCTGTTTTCTGATTTTTCTGTAACTAACAGATCAATTTTATAGTCAGAACAAATATCTTTTTTAAAGTACAGTGAGCACTAGATTCTTTAGCAGTGTTCATCTCATCGCATGCAGGGTCACAAAAGCCACAGCCTCTTAGCAGGGGACAGGAGGCGGCTGTGAAGAATGGCCATGAATATATGGGTGGAGAGAGGAGGGTGGGCACAAGCTAGGAGGCGGGGAGGAAGGGACTGGCAAGGGTGAGTCTGCTGAGGGCAGGGGTATGTGGAGCCAGGGAAGACTCTGACTGCTCTGCAGAGGTCTGTCTAGACCTATATAGTAGGCACTGGTGGTGTTCTTAAAGGGCAGGGGCAAGAGGCATTTCAGGAAGACACATGGATTCTTTAGGAACAGGGGAGGAAAAGGGAGGGGAGGTAAACTACTTGGGAAGCGGGGGAGAAGGAATGAGGGATGGTGATGGGAGTGGAGAGGAAGAGGCCCTCAGCCATAGCGAACCCCTTGCTCTGTACCTAAACCAAGCATACCTTGCTCAACTCCCGACAGGTCTTTGTGGCAAACACAGGGTAGAGGACGAGCTCACAGGGAACACCTGCCAGTAGCTAGCAGACCCAGCTCAAACTCAGAGGTGATCTAGGGCGGCTCTGTCCAGTCAAACTTTCGGCCATGACACAAACGTGCCACATCTGTGGTACTCAACACTTCAAATATGGTGGGGCCAGGAATCTTTTAAAATTTCCTTGGATTTTAATGAATTTAAATTTAAATGGTCACATAGGCTTAGTGGCTACCAAGTACCTAGCATAGTTCAGCTTATGACTTCATCAAGAGCAGAATTTGGAAAATTTTATACTGCAACTGTGCTTCAGGAAATAAGTGTGAAAATACGGAGTGTACATATTGTGGCCTACCAGGAGCAACAACTGGATATCAAATAACAACCTATGTTAAAACTTATAACTGTGAAATAGGAGATAAAGCTAAATACACTGAAAACATGTCATGAGAAATTTCTAGACTACATCATAAAAATTAGAGTGGATGTGATGAGAGCAATATAGAAAGGATGAAGAATAGGAAAGGAAAAACTAAGAGAAACCATCTACAAAAGCCAAAGATTTCAAAGGAGAGATGAATCCTGGGACCAGGAAAGATGAAAAGAGCCCTTAATACCTTAGATGAAAACTGCTGTTAGCAAAACAATCGCTTAACAGCTTGGGATCATTGTATTATCATATATAGCTCTATCAGAAAGGAAAAAAAAATCTGCCTTTGAAACTTAACTGATTTTACTATGTTTTGCCATTTTTAGTACAATTTAATACATTGCGGTAGCTTAATCTAATGTGCAATTTGCTATATTGTATTTGACAAATACTTACCTTGAAACACTGAAGCATTTGTAAGGGGAAAATAACTAAAATTGCTCATTTTGATAAGAAATTTGACTATCTTAGATGTTAATTTAGAAAGATGTTGATTTTTTCTGATGACTACTAACAATTCATCAGCTTATTTATGCTAGAATATGACTTGTAATATTCCATTCCTTTTAAGATGATATGGACTATGCCAGTGATGGCGAACGTTTTAGAGCTTTCAATGCCTGCTGTGGCACTCGTGCCATAGGTTCACCATCACTGGACTATGCCTTTCTCATTACTTTCACGTTTAGGGGATAGAGAACTACATTCAGGAGAATTGCAAATTACTTAATATTATACTAATAAGAAGTTTTCACAATACTTGATTTAGAATTTGATAAAATTAATGTTTAATAAGCAATTGAAACTAAAATATTTTCTGCCTCCTAGATAAATGGATGTCTGTAATCAACCATCCCTAAATAAGAGCATTAATATGGTTTTGAGTGACTCGCAAATCATGGATATAGATACAGTGAAATGTTTCTCATTGTGAATGACAGACTTTTAATGGCCAATGAGTTCAAGGGTCCTATTATTTGCTAACATATTATGTGGGCCAGAAATTTCCCATACATCTCATCCCTTTAGTTTACCAGGCATTATTTCTTACATGATATAGAAATAACATGTTAATAATTTCATGGATATTTTATTTTTGGATTTTTGAAATGCTGTGGTCTTAGAAATGAAAATTTAAGGTACTGGTTTCTGTAATTATTGGTTTCTATAATTTTTAACTTTATATCTGAGAAAGAAATGTGAATTACATGTTGATATAATTTGAATATTTTGGACTACCTAATATATATTCTTAAATTATAAACAAAATAACTGGGACATTAGGGTAGAACCTTATTTGATATATGATTACTTTTTGAAATGCACTAAATTCCACAAAGTATTTCTTGAGTATAGTGGTATGTTTGGTTAGTATGCTCTTAATATACAAAGATATGACACAATTTCAGTTTGTTCACTTTATACCTATTAAATTAGTAATCTATGACCATTTAAAAGAGAGAGAGAAAAAAGAAAGGAAAAGAAAGTTTCAGCCCAGAGCCAATCTAATGGCCAATTATAAATCAGTAAGGACTAAATGAAAAGTTTGGCCGTCACAAATTCATGGACCAAATTGTTGATGCATGCTTTGATTACCCCCCACCCCCCTGTTGTTTTCAGTATTATGAGTAATGACAAAATAACCATCTCTTATGCCTCCTCTTGCCAGCTCAATTTTCCCTCTGGCTGGCAAAACTCAAGGCATCAATGAGGGAGGGATTTCCCCATGTTGGGAGTAATTATATATATTGTGGTCTTGCAATGGGTCAGAATCCACAAAATATAGTTCCCCCGCATGGATGTCAGAAAAGTTGGCCAGAAATTCATCGGGATCAAAGCCCACCCACACAGTATACCTATAGTCTACGGTACGTATGGAGTAGCCCATGATCTTTATATCTTTCAAACTCGGCTTGTCAGAATTCCACTGAGGGGAGTCTGCAGGCCGGGGGTACTGGCTGTAGGCAACTGACTCACGAGGGTTATCGTGGAGATCCGGATCTTCTTCCAAGTCACGGGATCGAAAATGCTTCAGAAGGTTGTCACCTTCTCTGCACACCTCCACGTCAAATGAAGGAACAGGGCATTGAGGAGGGACATGCAGTCCTGCAAGGCCAGTGAGCGTGGGGAAGAGAGACACAAGTTCCACGAGGTCTGTGGTTTGCCTGCCTGAAATAGGAAGTGACAAGGGTGAATCTGTTACACTGCAGACTTCTGCCACACCAGGCAGCATTGAGTGAGGGCTGAGCTCCATCTGTTTTCTTGTTTTGGTGACAACATTTATTTTTAGCAAAAGAAGTTTAGAAACACCTCTACTTCAGCACCACACTCTCTACTGACTACTCATCCAATTCAATAGCAGGATGCAAAATTAAGGTGCATGCAGCCTGTTGGCACTTGCAAAAGCTACTCGAATTCTAGAACCACCAGTGGAATGCAGTACCTGATTAGGCAAGCTTCACTGCTCAACACTAACACCAGTGGATAAAGCTCTGCTGAGGAACAGAAGACTACATCTCATAGTGTCATCCCATATACTACAGTGGTGCCTCGGTTCACAATCTTAACTCTTTCCTCAATTCTGGTGGCAGAGCAACAAGAATCATGGCACAAATTCTGCAACCAGAATCGTGGGAAGAATTAAGTGTGTGAACCAAGATACCACTGTATTCCCTCTGGATGTCTGCATTTGATCTAGCTTTTCTTTTTCATAAGGGAAAATACATAAAACATGAAATTTACAATTTTAGCCATTTTTAATGGATAGTTGAGTGGCATCAAGTACATTCATTTTGTTGTGGCAACATCACCATCCTTCATCTCCAGAACTCTTCATTTTACACACTGGAAGCTCTGTCTCCATTTAAAAAAAATGTTCCCTACTTCTTCACCCCTGGCAACTGACAACTTCATTCCACTTTCTAGCTCCATAAATTTGACCATTCTGGATACTCTGAGTGAGATTATACAGCAAATTTCCCTTTGTGTCTGGATTATTTCACCTAGCATAACATTCTAAAGATTTATGCATGCTGTAGCATGTGCTGGCAATTCCTTCCTTTCTTAAGGCTGAATAATACTTCACTATATGTGTATACCACATGGTGTATATCCATCCATGGACACTTCGATTACTTCTACCTTTCAGCTACTGTGAATAATGCTGCTATGGACATACATGCTCAATTTTTGTTTGAATATCTGATTTCAGTTCTTTGGAAGAGCTCACATGTTAATTTTATGTTTAACTTCTTTTTGTGGCACTGGGATTGAAACCATTACCTCATGCATGCTAGGCAAGTGTTCTACCACTGCGTTTTGTCCTTTGCCCCCTGCCCTTTGAATTTTGGGATAGGATCTCACCAAATTGCCCAGGCTAGCCTCAAACTTGAAATTCTCCTGCCTTAGTCTGTTCATTAGCTGGCACTACAGATGTGTCATGCCCAGCTACATTTAACTTTTTGAGGAACCACTAAACTGTTTTCCACAGCAGCTATGCCATTTTATATTCCTGCTACTAATATATAAGTATCCCAATTTCTCTACATCCTTACAGTACTTGCTATCTTCTATTTTTAATTATTATTTTCAATGTCCATCCTAATTGGTATGAAGTGGTCCATCCATCTTTAAAATCTAAATCCTGCACTTACATTGATTCCTGCTAGAACAGATCTAGGCTTTCTGCTATCATTTTGGCCTTTCTGGATAGCTAACGGTCTGCTTTATAATGCCCAATTTCATTTTCTAGACATTTGATTTGTAACTAAAATGAAATAGTAAAGAAGGCTTTAAAAAGATACAATAGCAGATATTACCACCTTGAAACAAATGATCAAACTTAGCATCACTAATAATGGCACAGGCTGCCATGAATTACCCTAGTGTGATATAACAAGACAACACATCACTTGTAGTACACTGCTCAAAAATGTTTACCCTGGATCTAGCTACACAGAGTACGGGACACTGCACAGGACAGCTGGCCTGGGTATTTGGCAAAAGAGGTCAGAGGGATGAACAGAGAATCGAATCATACCAGGCCCTGTCTGCTACTGTGACAAGATTTACAAGTGGGATGGGAGCACAGGAGGCTTCTGAGCGGGGCTGTAATACAGTATGCCTTGGGTTTTTTTCTTTTTTGGTTCTGTGTGTGTTTGTTCGTAGTTCTGAAGGTGGAATCCAGTGCCTCGCTGCATGTTAGACAAGAGCTCCACCATTAAGCCACACCCCTGGCCTCAGCTTTGGGCTTGAAAGGGATCGCTTGGGCGGCTCTAAGGAGGAAACACAAGGATCAAGAGAACAAGCAAAGAGACTCAGCAAGGTGCTGCAGTGGTTCAAAAGAGATGCTGGTGGCAGCAGAGGTGGTGAGTGGGGTAAGGACAGAGCCCAAATGAAGAGTGACAGGCTGCTAATGTACTCCGCATCACATGTGGAGTAAGAAAGAAAGACGTGTTGGGCAGATCCCCATTGCTTTGCCCTCAGCAACTATTACCGTTTCCTAAGAAGAAGAGTGCTGAAGTCAAGCCTGAAGGTGGACGAGCACAAGCTCAGCTCAGGCATTCGACAGTGCCAGGTGGGATGGGTTGCTGGAAATACAAGTTGAAGTTCAGAGAAGATTCATGCTAAACATAAAAGCTGCAAAGAAGCCAGATAAACAGCGCGGTTACATACATTTATAACTTACTGAACAAAACCCAGAACAAAGGTTGTCAGAAGTCTTCTCCCAACAAAAACAAGGGCTAAAACCATGTCTATCAGTGATGTGAAAGAAGACAGTACATGCATTGCCCCCAAATTAAATGTGCAGAAAGGCAAAGTAGGCAATGGAAAACAAACTCAAAGATCCAGGAAGGCCAAAATGATGTTCTGCAACCAAGATCAATTTAAACAGGAATCATACAAAGTATCAGACTTAGGTGTTAAGATGGATTAAATGCCTAAGTTGGCGAGATGGGGGTGAGAATCTGGCTTGGGGTATGGAGAAAGCACCCTAAAATGAGCAAATGCCATGTGAAATACAGGATTTGTCTCTGAAATGGACTGGGAAGACCAGTCAGGATGCAACTCACAAGAACTCACACAGGTCACCCGGCACAAGCGAACCAACTGTGCCTTTAAAGCTCGGAAGGACTAGGGCATGGAAGTCAAAGTAAACTTGCCTTTACTGTTGGGATCACAGAGGAGAATTGCCTGGCACTTTCTACCAACCCAGTGGTTCACTAGGTCAGTGAGCTGCCAAAATGGAAAACAGTCCAACAAAAGTGGAATCCTTACCAAAGTATGCAGCTTTAGGGTTCTGCTCATCTCTTGAGGGGACAGCCCCTGTCGCACGTGGCAGTCTCTAGCGCCTGTCTCTAAGCTCTGAAGCTTGCTGTTGTCACCTCTACAACAGTATTCCCCATCTTGGGGATGCCATCGGCTCTTTTGTTCTCACCCCTCCAGGCTCCTCATGGAGGCAGCCATACTTGTCAGCTCTGGCTATGCTGCTCCTTCCCAAGCCAGGGCATAGAAAGTGCCCGGTAAACATGGACCGACCGAGCAATGCCAAGAAGGAATTCCAAAATGGCAGGAGTGGGGCTGTGTAAGGCCACAGCCCATGATGCGGAGAAGTGGTTCACATGTAAACTAAAAGCACTCCCATCACTTCAGTGTTTATACCTGGTTCCATCAATTCTGAAGCAGAATCGAATGGGTCGAGGTAAGGGAAAAGCATTTCGCCTGCTTCCAGGAATGAAGTCGTCCTTCCAGGAACATAGAACATCAGGGGCACACGGGTAGTGACATCAAAATTGCTGTATTTGGCCCATTCTCCGTGTTCACCTAGGGCCCAACCTGGGTCAAGAAAAGTACAGAATGATACAAAGTGAATAGGCGTATCACAGCTTGTTTATTTTAGAAACCATTTCATTTCCTGTTGTAAACACTAAAGGAAGGAGACTGACCACTTTGAGAAAATTCTTCTAAAATTACCACAAAAAAGGGTGATTTATTAAGCATTGGACATCTGTCCTCAAGAAGGAAAACTCTGAAAAGGAAAAAAATATTAAAGTATTAAATTCCCACATTTAGCCAGGGATTTAGCTCAGTAGCACTGCGCCTGCCTGGCAAGCACAAGGTCCTGGGTCCAATCCCTGGTACCAGAAAAAATAAATATATAAATTCCCAAATTTAAGTATCTTCTTTCTTTCACAAATAACTATCAATATATACCCACAGTGGGCTTCGTCAGGCTAGTGGGCCTGAAAGAGACATGTCTCCCCTGCTAAGACAGGATTATTCTTTTTTATTTTACTTTAAATATTTTTGGTGTAGAGATTGGTGTAGACATGCTAAGCATTTGCTCTACCTCTCGGCTACACACCCAAAGATGGATTGATTGGGTAGGCACCTCAAAAATTGGAGACTCACCATTGCCCTGTCCTGTACCTATCTCTGGACTCCCCCACAAGCCAGATTTTCACTTAAGGTTCAACTTGCATTGTACCACCAAAACATGAGCAGTGTGACCGTGGCACAAGACAAGGTTGCCCTGCTCATTTCTTAAGACATATCGTATGTAAAGAAAAACCAAACTTTTGGCCCAAGTCTTTAACTCTGATCAAAAATAACCCTTATCACTGATTTAAAACATCCCTTATAAAACACTGAATAATCAAAGTTGGAAATTCTCAATCTTTTAAACTTTGAGGATCCTTTTTGCTACAAAAGCAGTGCATGTCAGGGATTGTACGCAGAGAATTTAGTTAGAAAAGCAACCTAAGAAACCAAAAGCTGTGGTGGATGGAGCGGAACAGGCGCCGATGTAGGTCTGCGCTGTCTTCATCGCAGCTGCCACTGTGGCGTTTGGCAGGTCGGAGCCAAGTCCAGCACGAGACCTCGCTGGCTCAGTCTGCACGGGACACCAGGCCGCTAGAGGAGCCCCAGCTGGCTGGCCAGGGATCCTGGTGTCCAGAACAGGGCAGGAGCCTGTGCTGCATCCCCAGCGCTCTCCTCAGGTGACCCAGGTGACCCGGGTGAAAAGGAGCCTCTGGCCAATCAGTAAGGACAGCAGACTTGGCGCCCACCGCAGGTCCTCCAGGTCGCCAGAGAGCCCACCTTCCCTCCTTCTCACCCTCCCTCTTGCCCACAGTGCTGGGGAGTCAGGCAGCGGTTTGCAGGAGCTCTGGGGAACTCGGCTCGCAAGAGGCAGTTTCTACAGCTCGTCAGCTTCATGGGCTGGGCTGGGTGAGGCAGCCCTGCACCTCCAGGTTTCCCCTCTCTCCCGGAGGACAGGGCGGAGCTGACCCACGAGGGAGGGCTGGTGACAGGTGCCTCATGGGCCGGCTTCTAGGGTGCCAGCTTGGAGGTCATGCTGTCCCTGTCTGGCAGGGACCTAAGAGGCCGAGGGTAGAGAAGTCTGCGGGACAAGGGAGTCAGCGACCCTGGCAGTGGGGCCTCAGGAGTCAAAGGCCGCAAGGCGGACTCGGGTGCACCCACAGGCTCTGTGGTGTCCCCAGATGAGGGCTCTCCGAGCCTACAGGCCTGGGCTTGGCACACAGCAAGCACTCAGGACACAGCTGTGGACGTCCTGACTGCAGGAATGCGCTCATCAGTCTGTGCCAGGCTTCACCGTGGGCTGCTGTAGCCTGGAGCAAATCCAGGAGAGAGGAGAACACATGCATGGGAGGGCCCCAAGGGGCGTCTCTCACCCCAGGAGAGTGAGTGGCCAAGGACCTGGCAGGCAGCTCAGAAGGGTTCTGACTCCCGGCCCAGAGGCCTGGCATGAGGTCAGCGTGGCATGGGATGGCCCAGGCATTAGGACAGAGGGGAGGAGGCTCAGAGCCATGAGAGACACTTGTTAAAGTCACAGCCCTGTGCGTGGGCCTGTGGCCCCCTGAGCAGATGCCCTTGCATCAGGCCGTTTTACTGGCTCTCTGGTGATTCTGATGGAGGACGTCCCAGGAGAGTGCTATGAGATGGGCCACTGTACTCAGCTGTAGCTGCCTCAGCAAAAAGAGGAAGCTGAGCACTAAGAAGAAAGGCCAGAAATGCATGGCAAACCATTGGGAACCTGTGAAACTTGAGGCACCTCCTCCTGATAACACAGGAGATCGGGCAGATTTAGGGTGGAGCAGCTGTAGCCTGGCACCTCCATATGTAATGAGCTTCGAAGGGAGCTAGTTTTTATTAGAGAGCTTTGTAGGGGAAGGGTTAGGCCTGTGAGAAATGACAGAGAGTACTGTCTACAACATTGTTAAGTGGGAAAAAAACCAAGGACATGAGTACACATAGCACAACAAACCCTGTCTCATGATATGCCACACATTACACACATGCACATGTATAGCATGTATCCCTGGGACCATGTGCCACAACCAATGACTGGCAGACAAAGTCGCGGTGTGTCAGCAGTAGTTAGCCCTGGACAAACGCCATAATAGGGCCCTGTGGGGCTGGGGATTTAGCTCAATGGTTTTTCTGCCTGCTGTGCAAGCGCAAAGACCCAAGTTTGATCCCCAGTACCAAACAAAAAAAAAGTAGGGCCCTGTGTTATAGGCTCTGTATCCTTTCTTCTTTCCACAATGAAGACATGCTATGATTTACTACTGTCCCATTTCATATTTGAAGATATAAAAGAATTCTTTTCCTTTCCCTAGCTACGCAAATGGTACTGTGTTTATGCTTGAAGAGGCTGCATCTTTCAGAGATAGTGAGCAGAAAACAGAACCCCCTCTGATTTGTTTCAGGGCAACTGAAGAGTGCGGGGAGCAGGTAAGGACAAGGTGTGCAAGACTGCCACTAGCACAGAGCTGGAGGAGCTGGTACTCTCCACTGCTGGGGAGGCTGGAAATGCTTCAAATAAAAGAGCAAGGTTTTCAAACTACAGGTCCATATTTGAGAAAAGCAGGACACAGCCTCAGAAGAGTTGAGAAGCCTGGTCTCTTGGCAGAGAAGACAGCAGGGACAGGAGCAGAAGGGGTGCAGCCAGGCCTGCGGGTGTTGCCAGGCTCTGCCAGGATTGTTCTAGATCCTCCTGAGAAAAACTGAAAGCCCTTCAACCCCCTAGGTTACAAGTGTGTGTGGGGGGGGGTGCGTAAAAGAGCTCCCCCATTAGGGGGTTCCTGCCGAATTCACCAAGAAAAAAAGTAGTTGTGCCTGTAATCCTAGCACCCTGGGAGGCTGAAGCAGGAGGATTACAAATTTGAGCCCAGCCTAGGCAACTTAATGACTTGGCTAAACCCTATCTCAAAATAAAAAAATAAAAAGGGCTTGGGATGTAGCTCAGTGTGATGGCTCTCGGTTCAATCTCCCTCACCACACACAAAAAAAGGAAAAAACATAGTTTGCCATATGCTCCTCTCCACTCCTTCCTCCACCACAAGTCTCCAAAACTGAGTTCCCAGGACTAGTGTTTTGATCATAAAAGCACCCCAAGACCCTGGATACTGCTGCTTCACAAAGACAACGCACTGTGTGTATGGCAATTTTTGAAAAAAAAACACCTTTCACAGGAGGTTGACATGTTCTGAGTGACTCACCAGAGCATTTCAGAATGCTTACCATGATCGGAAGTAAGCGCGATGATCGTGCTGTTGGCCAGCTGAAGATCGTCTAAAGCACTCAATAGGCGGCCGACCTGTGTATCCAAGTAGGACACAGAGGCAAAGTAGCTCTGACGGATTTTCCGCTGCAAATGAAAACAACATCAATAATGAGAGTACAACTTTAACTGCATGGATAATGCCTGCCTGGGTATCTTTCCTAGTCCCAACCCCTGCACTGAGGCTTTAGTGAGGTCCTGAGTGAAAACACTCCTTCTCCTGCCATCCGCATCCCTTCATCCCCTGGCTTGCAAAGTCACAGGGCAATGGCAAGTCCAAAGTAGATTCCTGTTTAAGCAAATCAGCTGAGGGGCAGATCATGGTGGGTGGCTGTCACTCACTTCCTTTCTGTCTCCTTCACAAATTCTGCTAGGCCCCATGGCTCTAACGAGGGGTGCACCAAAGATACAATTCCGCCTTATTCACTTCCATGGCTGCTGTAATGAAGTGCTATGAACCGGGTGCCTTAAGACGCCAGAAATGGATTGTGTTCTTGCTGTGCAGGCTGGAAACTGAAAATCAGAATGCTGGGTGGGCCCTCTCAGCCTGAAGGCTATAGGGGAGGATCTTGCCTCTTTCTCCCTTCTGGTGGTTGCTGCAACACTCGCTGTTTCTTGGCTTGCAGCTGCGCTACTCTACCTCCATTTTCACATGGAGCTCGCTCACTCTCGCTCTTTCTCTCTCTCTCCTTATAGAGACATCACTCATTGCATCAGCAGCTAACCCTACCTTTAGGACCTCATCTTAACTGACTATGATGACCCTATTTCCAAATCAGGTCACTTTCTTGGTGTAGAGGGTTGGGATCAATATATCTTTTGGGGGAAAAAATTTAACAATGGCCCTGGGTGGTCCTTTTTTCTGACTACTTTCTAATCCAGAAAGAGATGGTAACTGCTTATCTTCCATGGCTGCTATGTGTAGCTCATTTCTAAGAAAGCCTCAGGGTGTAGGAGAAAAGCAATGAGCAAACACAACAGCCATGGTCCCTGGACCCAACAGGGACTCTGGAGACATCCAGGCCATACACCAAAGTAAAGGAGCTGACTCACTCCCAGCCCTGTTCACAAATGCTAAGGAAAAAGATGAATCCTCCACGCCCATTAATGGGTGGAAAGTAACATAATGGAGCTGCTGACTTATCATCTCAGCCCGTTTCTGCTGCCTGTGTGGAGCCGGCTGTACCAGCTGGATCTGCCAGCTTCCTGTCATCACTGCTAGGGAAAGGTCAATCACGAGATGGCTCTGTCCTCTGCTTGCAGTGAAGAGAAAAGATACACATCTAATCTTCTAGAAGAGTTATGCTGGGCCCAGCCTATTTGACACTTGCTGATAGATGAAGTCTTTGGGAACCAAAGGCACCTATCAGGATGGTGGTGTGCTGTATAAGCATACCCTCTCTTCCCCTATGCCGATCCCCAGAGATAAGGCAATAAATAGGTAGGCACAGTCCTCACCCTAATAAGCCACCTTCCCAGTGAGGAAACAATCGAAGAAACGAGAAAGCATGTATGTATTACTGGTAGAAGTGGAGATGACACAGGAGAACGCACTGTCAAGTACTCTGGGGGAAATCAGGGAAGGCTTCACAGAGGAGTTCACATTGGGGAAGAGGTGCTTGCCACCAGATAAATGGGGACACAGTGCCCTAAGCAGGGGCTGGAGTGGGTGGAGAACGGTGTGGAGTCAGGACACAGCGAGGAGTATTTGGGGCTGGAGAATAACACGGGAGGACAGGGGGTAGCAAGGGACACTGAAAAGGTAGGTCAGGGCCAGATGATAGGGACCTGGTGGCCTCCTCCAGGGAATAGCAGGCTGCAGGCCAAGGGAGTCACTGAGGTCGCTCAACAAAAGGAAGGGGTGCAACCTGGGCTGCAGGTTAGTAAGTGCCCTGTGGCAACAGGCAGAGTGTGGATTCCAGGCGCTTTAGACAGAACAGCACCACATCCCTGCTGGGCCCCTAAGAAGTGCTCAGAACACTTGCTTATCAACTAATGAAACAACACCGGCTGCAGCGGACAGGAAAGTGTGCTACAGAATCCAGAGGCCAGGGCAAAATTGAGAGGAATCTGGGGACCTGAAGCAGGCCTGGGGAGGGAAGGAAGGAGTGCGAAATCCAAGGTGACTCTAGATCACCCATTCATCTGGTGACATGATTCACCAGCATGTGGTGGGGAGAGGGGCATAAGAGGCAGAGGATGTAGGAGAAAAGGCAGGGCAGGGTGGAGCCTGCACAGCTAAGGGTGCCATGGTCATCTGCCTGGGAATGACTCTCAAAGGCAGTGGAAACATAGACTATGTCTGAACATCAGGAGCCAGCACTGGGCCCAGCAGTACAGAAGAGGCAGAAAGCAAACAGTGAAGGGCCTGGGCCTGCTTCTTGGGGGCAGCACCTAAGTCAGGGAACACAGAAAGAGGAGCCTGCCATGGAGACTGGAACAGGGGTGGCCTGGAGAGATGGGTAGGCAAAGTAGGCCAGGCGGCAGGTGATTAGGGTAGGGAAAGGGCTGGTGAACAGTGAGAAAGCAGCAGAGCACCCAGGGAAGCTCGCTGCCCGCAAGGAAGGGTTTTATATTGCTAACAAGGTTGGTGTCCACTCAGGTAGGAGAAGCCTTAGTGGGTTGGGGAAACAGAGGCCTGAGCAGAGGAGAACGAAGAGCCAGCAGGTCACAGACACAGCCACAATAGACCACTCTTGACTCTCAGTAACGGTTACACGGGACTCTCAACTTAATTAGCTCCAGTGACACCTAGGAGGTGAAAAGGCCTGTTTCTGGGTGTGTCTGGATGGCTTATGAGGGCATGGCCTTGAGGACTAGATCTGGTCTCTGACCCCTCCTCCCTCCTGGGCTCTACTCCAGCTCTTTGCTCCCAGCCACCAGGAGTTCAGCGGCTCTCCTCTGTCATGTCCTCTCACCATGAGGTTTGCACCGAGGATCGACTATGGACCAAAACCTCTGAGACTCTACGTGAAAATGAACCCTCTCCTCCTTTCGGTTGTGGCTGTCAGGCACCACATCCCAGCAATAGCAAAGTGACTAATGTACTCTCCTTTGGAGGCCAGTGCAGGGAGGAAAGAATGAGGGAGCAGGAAGGGAGGAAAAGCAGGCAAGGGCAAGGAAGTGGTACTTTTGCAGACAGGAGAAACTTGACAAGATATTCAGGTTCCAGGAAGAGTGGGAGGGGACGGAGAACTTGTTGGACATGGACAAGCTAGAGGAGCCAAAGCGGAGAGCTCACGGGGGCAGCTGAGCACCTCTCCGCCCCGTGGTGGTGTGGACTGTCTCCAGCTGCCCTCCGAGCTAGACTGTCTGTGACCATGATGCTGCAGGCGGGGCAAGCACCAATGGGCACGTGCGCTGAGGGCTGGCAAGAAGAGGAAATTGCCTGCTCCAGGGAGGAGCAAAGCAAGGAGGCCACCTAAACAGAGGAGGGGAGCAGAAACCCATGCTCTCGCAATCCCCGAGAGGTACATGGGCAACAAGGACATGCAAGGAGAGGCGGCCATGATCAGGGTGGGGACCAAGAGGTGTCAAACTCCTGAGGGCGGCCCCCAAGGTCACTAGAGAGGAGTGAGACAGGGCTTGGACACGGACACTCAAACGTGCAAGAGGACAGGGAGCAGGGAGCAGGGCCCAAGGCCAGAGGGAATGCGGAGGAGGTGCTGCACATGAGCGCACCAGGGAGGCCCCTGGTGCATGCTCTCTGCTGTGTCCAACAGACGGGTGAGAGGAGGGGACTTGGAGGACTTGAAGGAGCGCTCACCATGCCACTGGCACTGTCCCACATGCTTCCACATGTTCCCGTTAGTCCCCACTGAGAAGCTCCAAAGCCAAAGAAAACCTTTACCCATGCTCTCTCCATTTTACAGGTAAAGAAACTGAGGCTCCAAGAGGTTTCATTACTTGACAAAGCTAGCAGAAAGTGAATTCAAACCCAGGCTGTTCACAAATGACAAAACCAACCATGGGGCTTAGGAGTCACATGTCGCTGGGGGTAAATCAGCTCCCCTGGCATTGTGGTCAGTGAGGCCAGCAGCTTCTCTGCCTTCCACTTCCTCACCTGACAACAGAAAGGCAGTAGCCTCACTGGGTTCCCATGCAGACCAAAGGAGATGGCACACATGAGTGTTCAGCACTATTCCTGGCACCCAGTCCACCGTGGAGGGTCACTGTAAGTGACCGTCACTAATAAGGCTTCCAGGCACACTCTCAGAGCTATGATTTGAACCACCTGGTAATCAAAACCCAGCTATGCAAAATTAGGAAACAAAGAGACATATCCATTCCTCTCCAAATTCTCATCACTTGCCATCTGACAATTAGGCATCAAATAGATTTGAGGAATGCACACTGCTGATCCCCCAATCTGTCTGTGCAACCTCGGGGGCAAAACAGGTTTGGAAGCAAGAGATTCCGCAGGGCTGTTTGCTTTTGTGTTAACCTCTGTTCTCCAGCAGTGGTTCTAAAGTCCTGAGTGCATCAGAATCATCTGGCGTGCTTTTGGGGGCAATGTAGGTTCTTGGGCTCCAGCATCTAACCCAGTAAGTCTATGAGGGCTAGAACTTTGCATTTCTAACAAGTCAGCCCAGTGATGCTGATGCAGCTTGTCCAGGAAGCACACACTGACGACCCTGTCCTCTTCCCCCCACAGTAACTTGCCTGCCAGCATTCACATGGTAAGAAAAAGGCAGGATTCTGTGTGAAAGATTCCAGACAGAATGCTGGGGAGCGTGTCTTTTGCACTCACATGGAACTCTAGTGACCATATCATGGCAAAGGGACAACCGGATATCCCAGCTGACACCATTGACTGTAATGGCATCCCAGCTCCCGCTAGCCACCCCCACAAGTGACAGGTGCTAGTGTCAGGCCTTCCCACAGAGGGAACCAGCAAGTGCCAGCAAACTGAGCACTCCAGACTGCTGGGGAGTTGCCTACACCCTGTAAGTGATGAGGTGTCACCTGGATTAAACAGCATCACCCATGGGTTAGGAATGTTCCCCTAGGCTGCTACTCCAGCCCTGAGCCTATCTACAGCAAGTCACCAAATCTCTGCATGCTCCCTTCTCTGGAAGCTGAAACACTGGTCAGGAGACTCTCATCCACCCAGCACTTCCTGTGTCCTAACACCTAAAGAATGTCCCGCCGAGAACTTCACACAATGCCTTGCACAAATTAACTTCTCAGTAAGCCACTATGGATGGACAAGTGGCTTCACTGATGATACCACACCATCAGTACCATTAGTACCTGAAAGTCCACAGGAATCGGGCCGTATGGTACACTAATGTTTAATGCCTGGACATCTTCCCGTTGCCTTATGTCCATCCAGGGGTTGTAGGCCACTGCTGGTAGGCTGTCAGGGACCTCGGGATCGGGAGCCAGAGTGATGTTCTCCAAGGGATACAACTTCTGAAATTCCTGGCAGAAAAACACAAAGAGCCACAAGGCTGTCACTTGTGTGGCAAAGGCACAGGCTGTGGTTCCTTGAGTGTTTATACTACCTTCTCTTGAAGCCTGGAGTGCATTCCCATGGTGGCTCACTAAGGCTCCCCCGTACCCAGCCACCACCTCAATTCAGGCCTCGGGTCACCCTAACGAGGTGCCAACAGCAATGAAATCGGGCAACTTGTTTCCTACAACCAAGCGGTGACAGCTCTCTCCTCTCAAACACTCGGATATCCTCCTGTTCCTATCCCTAGCTCACACCCAACTCACACAGATGGGGTGGGCGCCCCAAACCATGCTCAGTTTAGTAATTCGCCAGGAGAACTCACGGGACTGAGCATACAGTCACAATCAGAGAGATGGTTTATTACAGTGAAAGGACAACAAACAATCTAGCAAAGGGAAAAGGCCCACGAGAAAAGTGCAGAGGAAACCAGTGGCAAGTTTCCAGAGTCCTGTCCCTGAAAAGCTACAAGGGACACACTTCAGTGTTTCAGCAATGAGTGACGAAGCTGCCGAATGGGGAAGTTTTTTAAAGCCTCAGCACCCAGGTTTGATTTGGTGCTGGTCACATAGGCACCCTCTGCCTGAAATATGCTAAAATTCCAGTGCTCCAGAAAGAAAAACAGGGGTTCAGTATACAGCATAATGTTTGCCTACAGTTTAGGCATGGTGAGCCACCCTTACGAGTTCTGACAATGGTAGAACACTCTCAAAATCAAAGTTCCCAGAGCTGCCAGCCAAGGGGCAGCCTTGTAAGCAGGCTGCCTTTGTGAACACTTTTCTGCAAGGGGACAGAAGAGGTGAGTCTGACAGGCTTCTTCTATCAAGGGGGCTGACGGCTCCTGTAGGAAGGCCAAGTCCGCCAGGCCAGCCAAAGCAAGGTATCTGCAACATCAAAGAGCATACCCTTTGGTGTCTACTCTTATGACAAGTGAGAGGCATTCTTTTTCAAGTCAAAAGGCTGAGCTTCTCAGGCCGGGGGAAAACATAACTGGAAAAAAATTGGAAAAAAAAGATTATAAAAAAGAAAAGCCTAGATGCTCTAAATGATATACAAGCAAGTATAGAGTGTTCTGTGTTTATAGGGTCTGATCTGGCAGGCTCAAAGGGAAAGGCAGTTGTCACATTCCCTGGAATTGCTTCCCAAGAATTATCCCTTGTTACAGGCTTCTGGTAGCTCTGACTCACTTCTCTATGATGCTTTCACCATGCAAACCAACCTTTGTGCAATGATTTCAAGGAAAGGAAATAACTTTACAGTGGAGAAAAGTGAAAATCCAAGCTTTTCTCATAAGATTCTTATAGGTCCTAAGATTACTTCTTGGCCTTGACCTCTGACTCCACCTTCACTAAGTATACTAGTGCCCATCAGGCAGCCCTGGTGGCTGGGAATGGTAGGATATGGCCATCTTCATCTTCGTTACATAAACCCCTTGCTCAATAAATAAAACAGCTGTAATGGCTATGTGAGATGAGCCCTCATCCAGCTCATTACCTTGGGATATCTGAAGGGGATGTGCGGTTTATGATACCCAACAGCCAGGAAGAAAGGACTGGCCGATGTTTTCATCTTTTCCAACAAACGGATGGCTTCCTCAGTGCTCTGTTTGTCAGGCAAGGTGCCCTCAGGCACATCAGCCATGTCCACAGGGCAAATCAGGTTGGCATGGAGTTCTCCATCTTGCCCCCTACAGGTCTTTTAAAACGAAACATGTAATGTCAGCTTTTCAAATGCAAGAAGCAGAAGTCATGAAGGTTAAACACACAGCTTTGATGGTCATATTAGCAGCCCCTTAGGTGTTAGTCATTCAGAGTAAACAGACATATCAGAAGTAGAACTAAACCAGAAAACACGAAAATATGTTTCTCCTTTTCCAGGAAGGAGCCAGAAGCACACAATACTTAGTTTCTTGCTGCTCATTCTTTTTTTTTTTTTTGGTACTGGGGTTTGAACTCAGGACCCTGCGCTTACAAGGCAGACGGTAGCACCACTGAACTAAATCCCCAGCCCTCTTGCTGCTAATCCTCTGTCTCCAGGTCACAACTAATTAAAGACCACCAAATGAACCAATTATTGGAAAAAATCTATCTTCGACTCAATAATAAAAAGATAAATGAGCCGTGGATCTAGCTCAGTGGTTCCAGCACCTGCCTCATAAGCGCAAGGTTCTGAGTTCGATCCCTGGTACCAAAAGAAAAAAGATAAATGAGCCGACTAAAAGTGGGCAAGAGACTGAGACATTTCTCTGAGAAGAAACTGAAATGGGCAACAGCACACGGAAGCATACTTAACATCATTATTCATTAGGGAAATACAAAAAAGAAGCACAACAAGATGGTCAAAAAGGTGGCTATAATTTTTTTTAATGGAAGATAATAACTGTGGACAAAGATGTAGAGAAACTGGAACCCTCATACACTGCTGGTGGAAATTTAAAATGGTGCAGCCACTTTGAAAACCAGTTTTGGGACTGGGGATTTAGCTCAGTGGTTCTGCTGCCTGCCTTGAAAGTGCAAGGTCCTGAGTTCGAGCCCCGGTACCAAAAAAAAAAAAAGAAAGAAAAACAGTTTTGAAAGTCCTCAAACAGTTAAACATAGTTATTATATGACCTAGAGATTATACCCCTATGTACATACCCAAGAGAAGCAAAAAACATTAGTCTACAAAAATACTCATACATGTATGCTGATAGCCACGTTATTCCTGATAGTCAAAATGTAGGGCCTGGCAGGTATAAATGAAACCATTAAAAAGAAGCAAGATGGCCTCATAAAATTGAGGAACTGAGATGAGGGTCTTCCAGTCTCATTCTCTTCTTACTCAAGCCACAAACTGAAGGCAGAGCCCTCAGCTTTCACTGTATTCTGAAATGGAAAGTTATCAAGAATTTAGAACACCTTCCACTCCACTGTCAAATCTCCACCCTTCTCTAAATGATGTCTCCAAAAAAGCTCAGAGGAGGATGTCATTTTTCAGTTTTCCAGCTGCTTTTGTCAGTTTCTTAAACTTGGGTTTTAGTTTCATTTATACATTGGGGGTTCCACCAAAAACTTAGGTTCCTTTGTAGATTCTTTTTTTTTCTATAATGCTCTAAAATTTTAAAATCCCTATTCGAGGCCTGAGAAGCCGAACAATATAGATTAGGCCTCTCTCTCATTCTGGGCTGAGGTTTCGGAAGCTCAGCCTCTCTTCCACCTCCCATGTCTCAGAACTTCCTACAACCCTCAGCTCAGAGCCTCATCCAGCGTGAGCACCCAGGAACAATTACGTGAGCTTGACACACTAGATAAAGCCTAAGGTTCTCAAAGAAAGAATCCTCCCCAGCTGCTACACAGAAGCCACTGTTCCCATCAGGCCTAATGCTAAAGATGCGAACACTTGTCTCTGTCAAGACATCAACAGAAGTGAAACCCACAAACCTCACAGCGTAACCAGCTTGAAAGAAGGTAAAGTAGACACAATAGATTATCTGCTAGACAAGAAAAAAGCACTTTCTCCTCAGGCTGGTGGCCCTTTCCTACTCTTACCTTCGTGTTTTCATACTTCTCCGAGGAGGGATGATAAGGTGGAAAAGACCAGCTATATGGAGAATCATCACTATGATTGGAAGATATACCTTGGGGGGGGGAGAAAAGTTGTTAAATAAAACAGGAAGGGTCTTTTAATATCCCACTCCCCTAAATTAAAATTTGGTAAATACCTGGGCAAGTGGCACTTCCCCTCTTTGGGCCTCAGTTCCCTTACCTATAAAGTCAGGAGCTTAGGCCAGATGTTATGTCCCCACTAATGCCAACCCTCTCTGTCTTCATATGAGTAATGAACATCTAATCTCCTGTCCCTAGGCCCTGGGCATTTGTGCTAGACAGTGCAAAAGGGATCCACAAGGGCAAGATCAGTCAAACTGCTGCAGCAGTGCAGCTCCTTAGAGACCACACTGGAGCCTCTCATTCCCCCTATAAAAGAGGGGGCAGAGGAATCGGCACCGTGAGGCAGGTGAGGGAAGGGAAGTTCAGAGCTCTGTGCCTTGCCCAGTGCCAGCCAGCTATCAGACGACAAAAATCCACCGGACTTGCAATTGAGGGATTAAAGGAGAGGCCTGCAGAGTAAATGGCATGTACCTCACACTCACAGGTGGCTACTGTCATTATTGAGCAGGCCCCAGCCCAACAGAAAAAGATCCTGAGAAATGACTCACTTGAAAAATATATTTCCCCAAAGACTGCAGACAGTATTATTCTCTAGTTCGGACCCCACAATCAGCTCAGAGCCTGGTTTCAAAAATCTAGTCACTGGGAGGAAGAAGGCCGAGCAACAGCTCTCAGGCCTTGCACGGTTTCCCTTCCTGAAGCCAATCTCCTCCCTCTGCTATGTTTCCTCCTCAAACCACAGTGGTCACTTGCTGCCAGCTGCCATCAGGCTAGAAGTGTTATGATGTGAGTACCAAACTGTAGGAAGTGCGCTTGACACTGGGCTTTTGGCTGCACGATGTTTCCTAATAGATTTACCTTCAAAACTGGGCTTGACTTAACCTGGTTGGAAGCTACCCTAACCTGGACTGCCCAGCTGGGCTCTGGAAGAAGGCTGCTGAGCCTGCCAGTATAAGCCCTGTGTAAAGGGAAAGCTACTGAAAACGTTCAAGTTGTCAGCCTTGATGACTAGCGCTGCTGTCCCAGTGGAATACCCACACTGGGATGGCGCCCAGGGAGGGTTAAGACAGGTGACTCTAGCTTCCCAGGTAAGGAATCCAAGGCCCCGAGAGGATGAACATTTGCCCTGATTCAGCCCCACAGCTAACTGGCAGTAATGTGAAGAGAACCAGGTTCCCAGGTGCCCGGTGCTATTGCTCATCGGCAGCTCATCTTAGGGCAGCAGAATAAAAAGTGATTTACATTTTTTAGTTTATACTTTCCATTTTGTTGTCGAAGAATCATGCATTGCTTCTATGAATAAAAAGTAAAAGGTTTTCTCTATGCTTCAACATTCTCATTCTGGAGTTAAAGAGTGGGTTTACCAGGCAGGCAGTGCTCAAGGGCAGAACTGACAGCCCCCTGGCACCCTCTAGGCCCTGAGCACCCTCTTCCACTCCTCTTGGTGACATCATTCACTGAGAGCCAGCAGACCCCCCGCCAGGCAACAAAGCCACACAGCCCTCCTGGCCACCTCGCAGGGAGGGCCGGCCCTCAATGTCCTCCCCACACCCTTAACCTTACAGACAGGGACCCTGCAGGGCAGAGGGCCAGCCCCAGAGCTGCACTCGTCCCCGACACTGCCACTGCCCAGCCCCTGTCCTTGCCACCGCCCAAGGAGCTGAAGGACCCCGCGGCAGCACCTCTAGCTTCTGAAAGGAAGCCAAACCCTTTCTCCCCTCTGCACTCTGGAGGAGGGCCTGAAGGCAAAGTTGAGAAGTGGTCTTCCTCCCTGGAAAGGCAGCAGTGAGCAGCAGCAGCAAGGCCTGCCGCCTGTGGGGAGAGGCCCCTGCAGAGACAGCCCCTGCCCCACCCCCAGCAGGGGACTCCCACCCTCAGACACAGGAGAAGCCAGGCTGGGGCATGGAGCAGTACCAGGGTGAAAGACTTTTCCCACCGACAGGGTCACATAGCCGTTCTCCTTGAAGTACTGCGGGAGGGTGGAGAAGTTTCCCGAGTGCACCCTCCAGTAGGAATTGAAGTCATACAGGCGGGTGGTGTCGGGCCTCCTGCCAGTGAGGAAGGACACTCGGCTCGGGGCGCACACTGCTTGCTGTTAGGAAGCAGAAGCACAGGTCAGCGTCATCACAGCCACATGGGGAGATGTGGCTGCTGTCTCCCAGGTAACCAGGCAACCTCCCCAGGCCCTCAGCAGCAGTCTGGCAGCTGAGTCATGCAGATCTCAAAGCCAGCCAGTGGGATCTGGGCTCTGCTCAGGTGCCGGAGATTGCGGCTTCCTGGCAAGGGAAGACAGCAGCGAGCCCCTCCAACCAGCAGATGCCTGCCTCCTCCTACGTGATGGTGTCGCTGGGCACCCAGGGCTGCTGCTGTGCTTGGGGGCCTCTGAGAGGGTTTCAGGGAGGGGGCCTCCATGGCCAGCTGGCTGGCCCTTGCCCAGGGCTCAGTGGGCAGCCATTCCGCAGCACCAGGCAGTGTTCCCTTCTGGGAGGAAGCTGACCAGGGTCAGTCCTGAGCATGTTAGGGCAAACTGTGCCCTCCACCCGATGAGGAGGGGCAGCCTTCAAGGTGCAAGCTTCCTTTTGAGTGAACAACTAGATGTTCTTTTTATTTTTTGGTACCGGGGGTGGAACTTGGTCCTTTCGCTTACACAGCAGACAGCGAAACCACTGAGCTAAATCCCCAGCCCTACAACTAGGTGCTCTTAATCACAGTTTTCTAGACCTTGCCTGCTTCTTTCCGGGAGGTTCCTGGCATGATCGGTGCCACCTAACATCAGCTGAAGCCCCCCTCCCCCCAGCCTAAGTGCATCAGAAGGCACATTTCAAGGAGGAGTGTTCCCAGGACATACCTGGGCGAAGGCATTCTGGAAAAGGAGGCTGTGGGATGCCAGCTGATCGATGTTTGGGGACTTCACTAGCTTATCCCCGTAACAGCCCAGGGAGGGGCGCAGGTCATCCACGATGATGAGCAGGACATTCCGAGCATCTGCACAGGAGAGAGGGGCTTTGGTAAGGTAGCATATGCAGATGATCAAATTCCTCCTCCTTCAGGGATGAGAGAGCCAAGGGGACCCCTGCGCCTTGTCAGCCCAGCCAGAGAGGAAAGCCACCACCAGTGTGCGTCAGCAAGTCGGGGGCCAGGGTACAGAGGAAGCCTGAGGTCTGGATGGCAAACTTAGGGTTTGGCCAAGGTTTCAAGCCTGGTGGAGGGAGAGAGGGATGGAAGGATAGAGAAAAGGGAAAAGCAATTTAGGATGAGGGAAGAATAAGTGAAGAGAAGATGGTTAGTGAATGAAGGGTGGGTAAAGGGAGAGAGGAAGAGAGTGGTGAATGGAAGGAGGAAGGGAAGAAAAGAATAGACTATCAGAGGGATGGAAGGAGAGAAGGACAGAGGGAGAAATATCGGAGGGAAAGGACATGAGGGGATGGAAGGAGGAGGGAGGCATGCAGGGAGGGATGACTGGAAGGATGGGTGAGGCAAGAACAGATAATGAAGGAACGAAGGATGATGGAAGGCATGAAAATGGGGGTAAAAGATGGAGGACGAGAGGGACGACAAGCTGCGTTCGTGCGAGAAGGAAGAGTAGCAGAGGGAGCGAGGGAGCAAGGATGGATGTAGGCAGGGAAGGAGGGAAGAACAGAGACGCAAAAGGCAAAAGGCCGGGCAATCTGCGCGAGGGGGCAGAGGCACCTGTGCTCGAGTTGACCTGCGCTGCGGCTTCCAGGTCTGCGCAGCAGGAGCCCAGGACCAAGCCGAGCCAAAGCAGGGGCCAGGCCGGCGGCGGCAGCATTTCTTCTTCGGCCCCGCGGCTGGGGATGGCGGTGACAGGCTAGGGCTGGCTGCAGGGAAAACTGCGCGACGCCACTGCCCCGGGCCATCAGGCCTGGGAGCCGGCCTGAGTGCGAGCACGCCTGCGCGCCTCTTCCCCCGCCTCCCCGAGGGGCGGAGCCTGGAGGCGCGGAGGCAGGCGCCCAATCCGAGACGAAATGGGCGGGGCCACGGACCCAGCATAGCCCGGGCTCCCTAGCTGCCCCTGCTTTTAACAGGGTGGCCCAGCCCTGGGCACCGCCCTCGGTGGAGAGCTGGTGAGAGTCCTTGTAGGTGTTTTAAAGGTTTTGCGACTCAACCACTGATCTTAACTAGAAGTTTTACCCCACTTTGCCTTTGGTCCTGCGCAGCCTTTCACCTCGGAGCTCTGCCCTTTCTTCATTTGCCTATAGACGTCTCACTTTTCCTTGTTGGTCCTGGTCATTGGCAACCTGTCCATAACACTGCATTCTCTCCAAAGTACAATTCCATCCTGACCTCAGAGGTAGCACCCCTTCAGGCTAGCTTTTGAGATGCCTTCATCCTAACCTGGTTCCTAGCTGCACAGTTTACCCAGATATGCCTCATGCTGTTTTCTCCCATAACAACCCATAGAATCAATCTCCCTCTCTCCCTCTCTCCCCCTCTCCCTCTCCCTCTCTCCCCCTCTCCCTCTCCCCCTCTCCCCCTCTCCCTCTTGCTCTCCCTTGCTCTTTCTCATTTCCACGTCCTTCTTGGAGGCACAGGAAAATTCAGCCGTCTTCCCATGCCACTTTGGTGTCACAGGAAGCTTAGGGGTCAGCCTCAGGCACTTCTACATTTGAGCTATGCTGATCTGGTGTGAGGTGAGTTCTCTAACTGCGTGCTTTCCAGGGTACCATCTAATAAGTTAGCACATTTCCCTTTGCCCTTGGACTTCTACTTCACCTCCAACTTTGGCCTTACCTTCAGAGGCCAAAGGATCTGTGATGGAAGGTTGAAGATGATGTCCAAGGTGAAGGTGAAGACTGGAGCTCCTCTGAAGAAACAGAAGCATCAGCCTTCCTTCCTCGTTTCCCCTTTATACCATTGTGGCAACACCCAGAGCTACGCTGAGTCAATTAGTTGGGCATTTTTTACTCAAGTTGACACAATCAGTTAACTATCACACCAGATGCTCAAGGCAGCACTTGGATTCTGTTCTCAAGCTGTCTGAGAGCATGGATGGACAGAGCTAGACCCAGGCTGTCCTGAGGTTTGCCCAGTAGTAGCCCTGGGCTCCCTGGGGCTCAAGAAGGTGAAAGTGAACTGCATCACAACCAGAATCTGATTCTGTCTTATTTCCCTAGAAGTGAAGCCCCATGGAACATGAAGGGACAGATGGGCAGCTGGGCACCACAGCATCCTTGGCACCTGCTAAGCTCCTACATTGGGTGGTATATACACTGTGTCAAGTAATTTATAAAACAAGATGAGTTTTCTCCTTGTGGAAGAGGTCAGCCACAGTCCTGTTTGCCTCTAGAATCTTAAATCATCTTCCTACCTTGAACTCTTCCCTTCTCTTCCCCTTCCTTGCTTTCCCTCTTATTCTCCCCCTGCCTTCTTCTCTCTCCTCTCCTCTCTTCTTTCTATGGCCAGACTTTTCTGTCAAGCCATTCATTCACTGGTTCAGCCAGCTCAGCTCTAGGTAAACCAACAAGCAGGCAGGCTTTGGAGCACAGTCTAGGAAAGTAAAGGATTTTTAAATTTCCACCAGAGGTCGCCTAAGCTCTAGTGTTCATTAATACTGCTTTAAAAGCAATTCATTTCCTTAAACATGATCTTATAAAGTATAAAACTAAAACTAAATAAGTGAAACAGAAATGCCTAATCATACTGTTCCGAGTACTCCACTGCCACTGAGTGAGGTATGACTGGTTCTTTCAACATTTGCATTGCATTTGTCTGAACGAGTTGGGTACCTTTGGTCACTCCCTTTTCTCCTGGCTTGCTGTTCCTTTTTTGACCTAGGGAGGATTTCTGCTTATTCTCCTAGATATATCTTTGAAAGCGCCTCAGGGAAGGGAGCAGAGTATGGCTGTTTGGGAATAAAGGAGGGCTCTCACAGTTGAGGGTATCCCCATATGTGCTTGGCTGACAACAAGGGCTTCTGGTCCTTCAGATAAACCTGGAGCCTATCGTGTCCATGCCTTCACTTTCAGGTTCTGACAAGCAGATGTTTCTTGCAAAGAGAAGCCCACAGCTGGAATAGCAGGTCAAAGCCCATTACCTCCTGCAACAAAAGCCAGGGGACTAGATAGACTGAGAAACACTGCAAGGCCTTTGCTGCAAAGCTTTTGTTGACATTTCTCCCAGGCCTCCTGTCATACATATGCTATGAGCCACACCTCAAGCATGAATAAATGCATCAAGAGTGGAAAGAACTACCAGCAGCCAGAAACACGACAACTTCAAGGGGATAAAACAAGAGGAGAGATCTTCTGAGGTACACAAGTTCCCTATGTCCTGCACCCTGTCATCAGGTTTTTATTTGAAGAAATGTGGCATATGGGAACCAGCATATGTCACCCCTTGTGGAATCCATGTGATATGATAGTTTTGTAGCATCATTAAAAAGTCTAACATTATGAGAATGTTCTCTAAGAGTCTCTAAGGGACCAATAAAAACACATAGTGGAGGAAGGCATATTAGAGGACATTTTGCTGAAAGGCATAAATTTTCACATATGAGATGCAGTTTTCAACAGTCTCCAAAGCCCACAACTGGGATTGTTCTCCAATGAATCTAGGAGCCAAACTGTTGTCTTTGAACCCTGAGCAGGAGCAAAGCTCTAAAGCCCTGTGTTCTAGCTCTAATCTTGTAGCCCAGGAAAGAAATCACCAGCTTTCCCTTAGCTGGCAGCCTGGTCCCCACCTTGCTGATGAATTGGGGTTGTTACAGCTGTGTCTGGATGTCCCCTCAAAGCCTCATACAGTCATAGATGGGGATTTTTCAGAGGTGGCAGGATCTAGAGTGTGTGATGCTAAGATCAAGGGTCTGTGATTACTAAACTAGTCCACTGATTGGTTTGGCACAGTTCTGGGTAGGATTAAGGGTGCCCCACCCTGAGTGTGAGCGCTACCTGCTATAAGGGTGGGTAACCTGGATACAGTATAAAGGAACAGAAAGAATCTGCTTGCTGCCTTCTGCCTGACATGAACTGTTTCCCCTATGCTATGCCATTCTGCTTTGGAGCCAGTCGATTATGGACTAAAACCTCTACAAAGTGTAAGCCAAAATAAATCTTTCTTCCTTTCACTTTGGGTGTCAGGTATTTTGTCGCAGCAACCAGAAAATTAAGTAGGACCAGGGCTGAGCACTCATATGACAGAGCAGTCTTCAGAACACAAACAGAAACCAGGCTGACTGATTTCCACCCCAGCTCTACTGTGTGACCCAGAACCACTGCTAAAGTCCCCAAGGCCTCATCAGGAAATGTGAACCCCACCAACAGCTTATCCAAGAGCCTATTCCCAGCCTCCAAGAGACTCTCAACAAACAGGGTTTGGCTACTAGGTTCTACCTGCCTGGCCAGACTCTAGCCCATGCAGTTCCAGATCCAGCCCTCCCAGCTGGGGAACACCTACAGCAATTACTGACTCTCCTGAGCTCCAGGCCATGGATTGTAGATTTCAAGGAGATGTCATTTGGGCCAGTGAAATATTTCAGTTATAAAGCTGCAGTCTGTGGCATGTGGGGCTTTGGTCTGTGCTCAGGCAATGCCCACCCCACTGACTGACAGGGGCCACGCAACAGGGCTTCATGAGCATCTTCCTGAGAGCCCCTTCCCTGGCTACTGTGACCTGTACAATTCTGATTTTCCATTTCTAATGGAACTGGTTTTCTACCTCAATAAGCTACTTAACAAATACATTCCTAGAGGAATGCAATAGCAGGCTGGAAGTAAGGTGGCATAAGAACTTATCACATCATTGTCAGCCCATGGTAGGGCCCAAAGTAATATACAAAATTTTCTCATCTCTTTTTCCTATGACATTCTTGTGGACCAAATTCATCCCAGACTTTTTAGCCCATTGAGTCCTCGCTGCTACCCCAGGGATAGTGTGCTATTGTTATCTCCAGTGTACAGATGCACAACCTGGGGCAGGGAGAAGGCTGTCACTGGCCAGCAGAGCTGGAAGCCTGGACCCTTAAGAACTATGCCACACTTCACCCAAATAGGTCCCAGCCAGGACAGTGGGGTGAGCTGCTCAGCTGTATGCTGTGAGGGTGATCCCATTGTATCCTCACAGGCAATGGAGACTCCTGGGGGTCATGAGGCAGAGAAGCAGGGGTGACCAGGCAAGTGAGAAAACCAATTTTGCTCCAGGAAAAAAAAGTACAGTTTACAATTCAGGGTCCCAAAGAGTTTTAATGCTATTGCGGCTAGCTGCCAAGTCTGGAGTGAGTCCTTTGGGCCATCACCTGAAGGATTTTATTTAAGCCCCAACAATGCTAGGTTGTGGCTTGGAATGTCCTCATTTTATAGAAGGAGAAAACATAAGTAAACTAAGGTCACAACACTAGTCCATGGCAATGACAGGGCTCACACCCGGTTCCAGCCAGTATAACTGCCCCCTCACTTGGACCCTGTGCTTTGTACTGACTTAGTGAAGAAGAAAATGATTGAATATATGGCTGCAGCAAGCACAATAAAGTACCCTGCATGCCACACTTGTCTGTGCTGGCCCTGGGGTAACTGCTCCAGCTTGGAGGCCAACTGGCTTCGTGGAACCACCTCAACATCTTGCCTCCTTAACATGCACTCCAATCTCCATTCAGATCCCTTGAGGGGAGAAAAATGGAGAGCTCAAAATGAGACAAAGACCTAGCTCTGGTAGGAAAGATTATAGATTTCAAGAAGAAGTCATCAGGCATCTTTGCATCCTGTCAGAAGTTCCCCAAGAACCCTCTGAGGAACAGAGCAGGCTGCACAACAGTCATTTGGAGCAGGTTGAAGTGTCGGGTCCCTTGTAGCTTGTTTCCTGCCACATTTTCTATTCAGGGCTTGTATCCAGACAGTGGGTGCCACAGTGCACAATACAGCTGGACAGACAGACAGGTCTCAGCTCATCCCTAATCTCTTTCCACTCAGCCTGCCTGCATCTGCCAGG